ATACCTTTTGTAAAAATACAATTCAGGCCAGTCACGGGAGTAAGTTATGTCCTCCTCCCACCTGGCCATAAACAAATTGGCCAGGCTGGGAGCGAATTTCGCTCCCATAGCGACACCAGTAGTCTGCAGATAAAATTTACCGTCAAACCAAAAGTAATTTTTGGTCATTGCGAATTGTAAAAGATCCAAAATAAAAAAACTTTCTGCGAGGCAGGCATTTTCGTTAGGATCATTCAAATAAAATTCAACCGCTTGCATACCGTCATCATGTTTAATATTCGTATATAATGATGCAACATCCGCCGGTCACTAAAATTGTGGAAGATTCTATGGTTAAATTCTTAATGTCTTGAAGGACCTGCTTAGTGTCCCTAAGGCGCCTGATATGGAGACATATCTCTCAAGGAAAATGGCACGTTCGTAATGCGCATGCGCCATCTACGATTTTTAATGGACGCTGCCAGACACAGACGCTGAAGCTTATCCCCTTTGATGATGTGCGGTTAGCACGAAAACGCGTCAGGGTAGGAGCTACAGCGTCATTATCTTACTGCCGCCGGCACCATGGAGGTCCCGGCGGCCATCTTTTAATTCACCTCATGGTCAGTGTTTGTTTGTTTATTCCTCACCCATGTTATACTGCATAAGAATAAAAATCTTTTAAATGGTATCACGCTATTGGTCTCTTTTCTCTGTGGCCCTTGGTGAGTCACTTATCACCTATAGAGCCACTCAGAGAGAGAGACCGTGGATTATCAGCAACATCCAGTGGGTGAGAAGAGTATCTGGCTTGATCTGATCTTTAGAAGCTACCGTGGATCTTGTAGAGATATATTATCTCTAAATGCGCAGTTACACTGTGCATCTGGTAAGTGCACAACCTTATCCTTCTCACGTTCACCGCATGGAAGCAGCACTTTGAAGAAAATTATCACAAAGACTGTTTTTGCACCGCATGTTACTCTGCTTGTGACATAGTGTTTGAGATCACATTAGTCACATAAACCACTATATTGTTATCTTAGATGTTTTTTCACTCTAATATTTGCTATATAGCGCCGCATCTTTATATTTTATATGAAATAGGTGGCACTGATGGGCACTGATAAGGATGCACTGGTAGGTGGCACTGATGGGCATTGACAGGCATCACTGATGGGCACTGAAAGGCAGCACTGATACATGGCACTGATTGGCAGCACTGATAGGTATCACTGATGGGCACTGAAAGGCAGCACTGATACATGGCACTGACTGGCACTAATTGGCAGCACTGATAGGTGGCACTGACTGGTACTGATGGGTGACACTGAAAGGCAGCTCAGATGGGCACTGATATGTGGCATTGATGTGCACTGGTAGGCACCAATATGTGGCATTGATGGACACTGACAGCTGGCACTGCTGGGGCTACACTGATCATCACGGCACACTGATCATCAGTGCCCTGATGATCAGTGTACATGTGCCCTCCGCGGAAAGCCGATTACCAGCTCTACTCTCCTCTGTCAGCGTGACAGCTCGAGAGGAGAGAAATGCCGATAACCGGCATTTCCCCGTTTACATGTGATCAGCTGTGATTGGACACAGTTGATCACATCACCGAGCCAACATCTTCGGCTCTTTCCGTGATCGGTGATCCGCTGTGTCTGAGGGACACGGCGCATCGCCACTCATGCGCAGAGAATGGGAGGACGTCATATGAGCCAATCACGGCAAGTGATGTATTCTATTAATGAATACAGAGCCTGCTCGGATTGGCTGCGTCAGAGAGTGGGCTGATGATGTCACAACTTCGGCCAATCCGAGCAGGCTCTGTATTCATTAATAGAATACATCGCTCGTCGTGATTGGCTCAGCGCGGTACACTGTATGTAGCTGAAGCTACCGTACAGTATTATCACACATCCAGCGGTTCTATACCTGGCGTATAAGACGACCCCCAATTGTTAGGGTATGTTTTTAAGTAAAAAAAGTTGTCTTATACGCCGGAAAATACGGTATATCTTATTGTTAATGTTTTGAATTTTGTTGGGAAATGGGAAGCCAGTGGAGGGATTGGCAGAGAGGGATGGCAACATGGAACGATTGGTAAGGTGGAGGAGTCTGGCAGCAGCATTCATGATAGACTGAAGAGGGGAAAGCCTGAAATTAGGTAGGCCAATGAGGAGGGAGTTACAATAGTCAAGGCGAGAGGGAGTGCATACATTGCTTAGTGGTTTCGGTGGTTAAAAAACGGGCGTATCTTGGAGATGTTACGGAGGTGAAGTCAACAAGATTTGGACAGTGATTGGATTTGGGTCTGAAAGGACAGATGGGAGTCCAGGATTACACCTAGTTCCCTAGCATGAGGGGAGGGACTGATAGTTGTATTATTGATCTTGATGGAGAAGTCAGGGGAGGGGGCATGGGCTCGAGGGAGTATTATGAGCTCAGTTTTAGAAAGATTTAGTTTGAGGAAGTGGAGGGACATCCATGCTGATATGTCACTTAGTAGGTTCGTGATTCGAGAGGAAACTGAAGGGGTGAGGTGAGGAGTAGAAAGATAGATGTGTGTGTCATCAGCATAGAGATGGTACTTGAAGCCATGGGAGTTTATCAAGTGACCAAGTGAGTGTAGATGGAGGAGACAAGGGGTCAAAGGACAGAACCTTGAGGGACCCCTAAAGAAAGCTGAAGTGGAAAGGAGGAGACAGAGTTATAGGTAACACTGAAGGAGTGCTGTGATAGGTAGCAGGAGAACCAGGAGGGAGCAGAGTCTTGGCCAAGAGAGTAGAGTTTTTTTTTTTTTTTTTTTTGAGGAGATGGTCAACAGTATCAAAAGCAGCAGAGAGGTCAAGTATTAAGAGTATGGAGTAGTGGCCATTGGTTTTATCAGTTAGTAAATGACTAGTGAGTATTAGTAGGGCAGTTTCAGTGGAGTGAAGTGAGCAAAATCCAGGCTGTAGAGGGTCAAGAAGGTTGTTGTCAGTGAGGTAGGAGCTATATTTTTCCCAAAAAGTGAACCTAGCCTTTAAAAATTAAAAATCTAAAAAAGGGGAAAAAAAAAAAAAAAAAAAAAAAAAAGACAACTCTCCATCCATACCTGGAAACAAGTAACTTAGATCTAAAATTACTTGTGGTGGCAGAAAATACTACTGCAGGGCAACGAACACAGCGCACAGAATGTATGCCTAATGAGAACAGAGATTTAGTGCTTGATATATTAAGAACGCTAGATGCAAGAACATGTAAAACATAGGTGCATGTCTTTGTCAGCATGACTTTATGCCCATTTTAGTACTAAAAATCTTATTAAAGAAAAAAAAAATTTATTTTTTTTTTATTTTTATTTTTTAAAGGAGGAAGGATTCTATCGCACTATAAAAAAGGTGAAGAATTAAAATACAGAATAAAAGGTCCAGTAATGTTCACAAGGTAGAATCTATTGGTCCAGTGAAACAATAAACCCACCACACACTTAGTAAACATCCTGGCTATAATGCATTAAGGGGAACAAATGGGATGTCCACAGCATACCCATATTGCAATTTGTTTCTGAACATAAGCTTTACATACAGAAAATTCATTCTTGGAATACTTTTACAAATATGAACGTATTAAGTCAACAGCAAGTGCCTTCTGCTCCACCCCTCTGCTGGTGACATCACAGCTTTTATATTTCCCCCAAAGCCTTGCATCTCCAGCAAACTTGTGTTTCTCATGCAGAGTTGCTAGAAAAGGTAGATTTTGTACGCTCTCTCAGACTATCAAGGGACTGACAGCTGCAGCCTACCCATGGACTACAACATGCAAAGATGACAGCACTTTGAAACTGACTAATGAAATAATGCCTCGAGGCTTTGCTTACAACAAGGATTTCAATTTTACTTCTGAGTGGCTTATGAACATACTAATGAAGCATTGCTACTGGTTCTGAATAACAGTTTACATTAAAGTGCAAAACCTGAATTCTCTACTCTGTTAGTTCAGTCTGTTAATCAAAATGTAGATTTACAAAAACAATTTACAAAAAAAGAAATAAAAAAAATAAATAAATCACCGAACGAAAAAAAAAACAAAAACACTCAAAACACACTCTTTGGCATCTGTTTATTTACAATTTCCCTTAATTAACATAAGCATCCTATATAAGGATATTAGGCCAGGTTCCCATGGATGTGCTGTGGTTTGGGCAAAACAAGGTTTATGCACGTTTTCTATGCAGTTTGAGGTGCCCTCCCAATGACTATTAGACTGTATGTTTTCTGAAAGCGCATCAAAGATGCTTTCATGAAAATGCATGGTCTAACATAAGTCAATGGGGAGCGCATCTAAAACCATGTATAAATTATGCTGTGCCAAAACTACAGTGCATCAATGTGAACCTAACCTACAAATTCTAACAATATTTTGAACACATGCACAAATGACATTTGATAAAGAGAGTTATTATAACCAATCTGATACTTTTTTTGTTTTTTTCTCATTGGAATTTTTCAGGGAGTGCCACAAAGCACACCAGATAAAGATGAAAAGACTGATGTGTGACATAAATTAAACAAAAAAAACAAAAAGGGATCAGCAAACCTTAATTAATGAGCTGACAGTAAAGAGTGACAAGCAAAAAAAAAAAATAGACCATGTTAAAAAAAAAAAAAAAAAAAAAAAAAAATACCTCCACCACTGTCAAAAATGGATTTATTTTGTGAAGCCGATGCACAATCTCTCCACAAAAAGCTTCTCATAGCCAGCTGCACTGTGTGGTTTCACACAGACTAAATTTAGACAGTTCTGTTCATCACAGCAATGCTGTGTGTCAGCCACATCAAAGCCCAAGGGCAGAAAGATAAACAGTGAATACAGGTCACGTAGCTCTGTAGCTAACAAACTGTAAGAGAGCTTGCACTCCAGGGTATTCAAGGCAGTTTTGTCATCAGCAATCTAGTATCCCCTGAGCCTGCACGTCCATTGGTTGCCTAGCAACCATGGCGTTAATACCTAGGGGAAGAGAATCTTACCAGGCATCTGGCCGTTCATCTGGTTCTGCATGTGTGGTGCAGGCGGGCCCCCTCCTACCATTCCTTCTGAAGGTATGTTGTGTGAACGTGGTGGCTGTGGAGGGCCACTCTGATTCATTCCTGCCGGACCCATAGGCATGTTCTGTGTAGGTAGCTAAAGGAGATTTAAAAATATAATTCAATGCAAGGGTACAAATTAAATTCAACGCGCTGCCACACAGGCTGGTTTAAAGACAAAAATATTCCTACTGACGTCAGTGTACTGCATTTTACGAAATGGCTCTGTGGCTATATAGCAAACTTCTCAGAGCAATTACATGGTCTATCTTATCACACAATTACAATACTTCTCATTCTAAAAAGGTAGCACTATTACAGCTTACAATATGGCAAAATAAATAAACACCTGCAAAATATACTGACCCAGTTGTCAAAAAAAGAATGTGTACTCACAGTACAATGGAGGCCAATAAAAGGACAGATTAAAGGGATACTAAATCCACTGCCACTATTTTTGCTTTATACCATGCTTAAAATATTATATTTGGATGCATGTTTCACATTATGAAAAAAAAAATCCTAAATACATTTTTTAATGCCTCGTGACTTTCTCCCCCAGCTCCACACCACAATGTGCAGTCGAGATGGAGCTAGCTAAAGACCCCATGAAAACTGCAAAGTCACTGCAATACAGTAACAGCGAGGCTCCCTGTGTGAGAACATGATTGATAGGGGATTTCTCTCCATACTTTACCAGTCTCATGTTTCACACAAAGCTTTAGAAGCCATTCACAGATTGCTTTTACCAGCAGCTCTACTGGTAAAGGCAATCTGTGATCCTTTCCTAAAGTCTGTGCTTTGTATGAAACATGAGACTGGTAAACTACGGAGAGGGAATCCCCTATCAATCATAACTCCTAATTGTGATGTTCCACAGTCCTAACTTCAGAGCCACCCCCCCCCCCCCCCCAAGCTGTCACACACGGCAGCTGGAACACAGAAAAGCAAAAAGAGACTGAAAAGGAGAGTTTTGGCGCATGTGCAGGATTGTCCACCTCAGCCGCAAAACTGGCTGCTTTTTAGGGGACAGTGGAAAGGCAGGATCAACCAGGTATTTATCTAAATAGAAAATATAGGAAAAGAAAAGATGCAGTGTAGATAAAATACATAATTATAAATTCAAATGTCAACAGAAGTTGTGCTTAGTGACACAAAGATTTTCATCTTCAGGTTATACTGCCACCTACAGGACTACTGAATACTGGGGAAAACAAAAACAAAAACAAAAAAAAAAAAACAAACAAACAAACCCTCAAAAACAACCTGAAGGACAGCCCATGATAACCTCTCCTACTACCAGAATGCCACAGTAGCAAAGCAATACAAAGACCATGATCAAACTTAAAAGAGGTGTGTTCCTCAATGGCTTCCAAGAAAAGAATGTTGCGGGGAGTACAAAAAAAAACAACTAATTTTCTCTCTTGTCTACTGGAAATCTTCACAGCTCTCAAAAGAAGTCCAACTGAGGCAACACAGCAAACTTAACAAGCCCAAAAATACAGGAGAACTTGGGACAGGCTGCAGCATAAAGAGCTATTAGGGATCTTGCCCCCCAAACCAACATCTGAAGTACGTGCAATACCCCCTGGTAGAACTTGGAGAACACATGAATAAAGGCTAGGTGGCAGCCTTGTAAATCTGGGAGAATGGTTGCTCGATGTCAGAAAATCCAAGACGCACACAGATCTAGTCGAGTGCGCCTTCATAGGAAAGAGTAGAACCTGATCCAGAAGACCACAAGTTGAGATGGTGGAGCAAGAAAGTGGTGGAGGATGAAGTCACATTAGTTCAGATAATTGCCTAGCAGAAGGAACAACCACAAGGATCCCCCACCTTGTGGTTGAGAGCAGAGAAGTGAAGATCTCGAATGGGTTCAATCAGTGACTTCTGAAGTGCAGCAAAAAAACAAAAAAAAAAAAAAAGGGGGTGGGGGTTAGTACTTGACCTTTGACACTGCCGAAAGCCAAACCATGGTACAAACAGAGCTGCAGGAAGGAGAGGATCTGTCTCATGGACAAACTCATAAAATGGAAGCCTGGAGAGTCACAGCAAATTAAGTATGTCACCCATGTCAGATCATAGACCTTGAGGGACTTAGCCTTCCTAGCATTTAGCATTGTAGGAATTACAGACTCAGATGCCAGTCTCTAAAATCTTGATAATCAGCCAAAGATTAGTACAGCATAATAAATCGGTCCTTAAGACAAAAGATCCTGACTGGTAGAGCCCACAAAGCTTCTGCCAGGGGACTTACCAGGATCAGTGTACTAGATCCTCCTGCGTAGAGCAATGAGGTTCACCAGAACACCCTCCATCTTGATCCTGCAAAGCAGACGAGGAAGAGGCTCCTGCAATTATTGCGTTAGAATACATTTATCACGATGCTTGTATTTGTGCTTGACGTGGGCGGGCTTGTCCCATGTGGGTGTGACAATTCGGGCCAACCTGGCTTGATACACCTTTGTATACCCCCCTTTTTTTCTTTTGTGTTGTTCTGGCCGGTTGTCCATTGACCCAGCTGGATCCATTCTTCCCTTCTTCTCGTTTGTTGTGAGGATGTTTAGGAACGTGTCTCCTTAAGCAAGACATTTGGGATGCCTTGGAGGCACGTGTGCTGTAGCATGATCTTGCTACTTGATGACATTGGGCATGGATGCGAGGATTGGTCCTACCTTGTCTGTAGACTGCCCTTGGGCGTTATGGCACATGCGAGTTGTGGCGCGGTCTATTGCGTGACCTCATTGTCCTGGGCAGGGTAGACGTTTTTTGTGCCATCATCTGGTTAATTTAAAGCCAGTTAGTCACTGCCTACAGACGGATATGGTTGGGGGATCTAAGCTGAGTAATAGAACGTTAAAGGTATGAGAATGTTGCATATAGGAGAGATGGTACTAATGGTGGTGTTACTATTAAAGAGCACCTTTCTTATGCCTTGGTTTTTTATTTGTCACATTCATAGATCCCTGTGGATTGATTGCTGTGAGATCTGTCTTATCCCTTCACTGGCTTCCAATTGCCCAACGGATAAAATTCAAAACGCTAACACTGACATATAAAGCCGTTCATAACACTGCCCCAAACTACATCTCCAATCTTGTCTCCAAATATCACCCAAACCGTACTCTCCGCTCCACGCAAGACCTCCTACTCTCTAGCTCCCTTGTCTCCTCCTCCCATGCTCGTCTCCAGGACTTCCCCCATCCTCTGGAACTCCATACCCCAATCCATCAGACTATCGCCTACTCTGCTCACTTTTAGGCGCGCTCTGAAAACTTCTCTCTTCAGGGAAGCCTACCCCGCCCTCAGCTAATACTGGAATCCTCTACTCTTCCAACCACTCCATCCCTCACAGTTACTACCTCTTGTACCTCTATCCCCTCCCTCCCAGACTGTAAGCTCCAAGGAGCAGGACCCTCGAATCCCTCGTTTTGAATTTGTATTGTTACTATACTGTCTCCCACCATAAAGTAAAGCGCTGAGCAAACTTTCGACGCTATATAAAATCCTGGATAATAATAATAATAATAATATTATAAGTGCATGTACTGGTGATCCCACATATTGTGGATGACTATTGAATGGTGAGATTTTTGTTCTTCGATTTAGAGGTCGTATTGTGGGTTAGCTCACTTGGGTTGCCATTTGATTTTTCTTTTATAGTTTGTTGTACTTTCGATGTATATTACTGAAATCCTGGGAAATTTTTGGCTATGAAAAAATAGGAAGTACCACTATCAAGTAATGTTCTTATTCACTAGGACAAGTAATGTTTCTTATATGGCCGGCTGCATCCTGAATGTTTTTGTGGCTGGCGTCAGGAGTAAGAGTTGATTATTTTATGTGTCTTTCCCAGACTGGCTTCTTTTTTTCCTTCTTTGTTACCCAATCCTAATATATTGTGGGATGGTATGGGATGTGGTGTCTGGGATGGCCCATGTAACATATCTAGTGGGATAATCTCCTCTGCCAACATTAACTGTAAATGCAATGACACTCCCTACTGCTGCATTTTAATTTTCATGGGTATACTCACTTGATACTATGGAACAGTATCATGTATTATTATTGTTCTGTGTCTTATCCTCTAGGTAGCAATACAATTCACGCACCTTCTGCCCCTGAAGAAGCAGAACAACAACGTGAAACAGGTCTAGCTTTACATACATGGGTGATAGTGCCGCCCCCCCCGTTACATATGCTAATCAGTCAACAATTACTATATGCTTATAATCAGAGTATTACAAGATTGTCTCTTTATAGTGTGTGACCACCACCCTATCGATATTGACATAAGGGTGCAAGAAGCTACTTTGAGTTGTATTGTAATGAACTTTAATGCTGCTTTTAAATATGCAGAGATTAAGATTATATTTGATTAAAAAGAGAAATATACCTTGGTGCCTTGATGTGGTGCCCATAAAGTTCATGGACTGCGGTCCAATATATTCTTTTTTCTTGTTTGGTGAAGAAGCTCCAGCATAGATCATGGTTTAGTGATCCCACAGAGCCACAAGAACATCCACTGCTTCTGCTAGACAATCCCTGCAACTGGAAACAAACCTGTCCAGTTGGTTGCTGAACCTGGAGGGGAGAAGGTCTAAATCTGGTGCTCACTCACCAGCAAATGCTGCCCCCTACTCTCACGGTTGGCTAAAGAAGCTCAATCAATATCTCCCGGTGGGTTGACGGATCAATCAATGCCAATATCATTTCTCTCCTCCAATCTTTATAATCACCTATCCCCAAATGGTCGACAGTGATTCATATAATAATGGGAATCCAAAATGGTGGCACTTAGGGTAATAGAGGAGTGTCCCCCTCCTCTAAATACTCCACACTCAGACCAAATGACCATGTAAACGAAAACGAGAAAAGCCCCAATGGTGCAGTACAAAAACACAATCCTTTTTTGCCGCAAATAGACTGCCACTTACAGGTTAAATAAAAATAAAGCGCCCAAAGATGCTGCACTATGTGTCCACATTAGTGTAAACCGAGGAAGTGTTCTTACCACCGCCAGATACTCCATCTCTGACGCTCCAACGTCACTTCCGGTTCTGGTGGCGGCACTTCCTGTCGCCGCACAGCCTCGCCCTGACTCATTTCGTCATATCCAACTTACTCATAGGGGTTGACCAGTATGCTTAACAGGCAAAACACCTGCTCAAAATAGGCACTACACCGTCATGTTTCGAGCACTAGCAGAAAAACCTATCTTTGTCACATCAGCAATTTCAAATCGGATTCATATAGCATGGCTGGGGGCCAGCAAAGAGTCAATATGATCACACAAACTGCTTTTCCTTTATGCCTTTCCAAAAACAAATTCAAGCAATATACATATAGGTAAACTGTACATTTTAGCACAGAATTAAATTTGCAAAACACTTTTCAAATTCTGTGGCCAAATATAAATTATATGAAGATAGAATCTTTGAAATCCAACTCCTATTTCCCAAAAACGAATCTGCAAGATTTACTACACAAAAATCTTAGTTGTGTGCATGTTAAAAGTACATACAGTGAAGGAAATAAGTATTTGATATTTGAATGTTTGCCCACTCACAAAGAAATGATTAGTCTAAAAATCGAATGGTAGGTGTATTGTAACACGGAGACAGAATAGCAACAAAAAATTCAAAAGAAATGCATGTCTATCAAATTATGCACTGATTTGCATGTTCATAAGGGAAATAAGTATTTGATCCCCTATCATTCAGAAGGATTTCTGTCTACCAGGTGTCTTTTATACAGGTAACAAGCTGAGATTAGAAGCAGTCTCTTAAAGGGAGTGCTGCTAATCTCATTTTGTTACCTGTATAAGAGACACCTGTCCACAGGAGCAGGGGAAGCTGCACACTAAAGGCTTGTTTACCTTCATGGCTAGAATGCATGAAGATAAAAAAAATCATCTACTTTACAACCACTTTAATATTAAGCAGAAACCAGTTATGGAGATGGGTTCTCCACAGATTTTCTTATGACTTCCAAAAAAGCACTGTATATTGTGGCTGTATGAATCTATTATGTAGATGTCATATGCTAAAAAATCAACTGTGCAATCTGCAAGTCTGTTGTATATGTTATTCGGGAGCTTTCCCCTCACCATTTGTCCCATCACAGATGGAAAAAGGGGAAGTATAATAAAAACTCTCCCTAATGGGCACATAGACAGCAAGAAACATTGAGGATCTAACATTTTTCCAAGCTACACAAAGCAAGATTTTCACTATAAGCTTTTGTTTTCTCTTCCTAATGTACAGGCGAACTAAACATTACTACAGTTAGTAAGGTTGAATAAAGACCATAGTTCATCCAGTTCAACCTGTGTGGGTGTGTGTGCTCATGTCAAAAACTCATATCCTATATCCCTGTATATTGTGTTCACTAAGATGCCCATCTAAGATTTTTTTTTTTTTTAACTTTTTTTTATCAATACTTCCCACTGACATCGCCAATTGTGGAATTGAATTCCACATCCTTACTGCCCTGACAGTAAAAAACTCCCTATGCAGTTTAAGGATAAACCACTTCTCCTCCAATTTCATTGAGTGGCCTTGTGTCGTCTTATTCTCAGAGACAGAATATTTTATTCCTTATGGCAGAACCACCACTGAGGTATTTGTAGATCGCTATCATATCTCCTCTCAAGCACCTCTTCTCCAGGGAAAATAAGTTTAATGTGTGTAGCCTTTCCTCATAACAGAGGCCCCCCAGACCCCTTATTATCTTAGTTGCCCTTCTCTGGACTCTCTCCAGCTCTTTCACATCCTGACTGGTGAACCAGAACTGGACGGCTTACTCAAATCTGAGTTTTATACAGTGGTAGAGTTATAGTTTTATCTCCAGAGTAGATTCCATTTTTTATGCATGCTAATATTCAGTTAGGAGGAAGGCTTCTCACGGGGTACGTGTGAACTGTAAAACTGGTGCATATCTTGGGTAGCCATATACCAGTTTTGTGTGGAAAAGGATGGGGTCCAAGCCCCACATTTATGGACATGCAGAGCCAGAGAGCAGCCCCATAGCAAGTGGCTTTCTATTGTGGACACTCAGCAGGGGGTACGGGCAGAGAACGGCCAGGAGCTCCAGCTGGGGATCCTAAAAGAAGATGATCAGTGCTGTTCTGGGCAAAACCATTGAACAGAGTGGCAAGTTTACTATGTTTGTTATTTTTAAAAAATACAAGTTAAACCTTTATGATCACTTTAATAATGCCATCTCACAGTATATAACTTACTGCTGGTAATAAAGGTTGCATATTTTGATTGGAGTCTGCAATGGTGGCCAAGTAAACCAAATTTGTGTGCAACATTTGTTGATACCTAGAAGAAAAAAAAAAAAAAAAAGTGTCATACATTACTTTTATACTTTTTAGCCCTATAAATGTGTTATGCTAATAGAAAACAAGTTGTATTACTGCTGCAATAATATTGCAAAGGGATGTTTCTCCTATGCTTTACAGCCAAGGATAAAGCCATCTTAGATATAAGTAAAATAAATAAAATTAATGCAGCGCTAAAATAGGAGTAACAACGATAATAGGTGACAAAAGGTGTAAGCATCATATACCACTGGTCCTATATTGGACCATAACTAGTGATAAAGACACAATGGTGACCCCAATCCACATAAATAGTGACCCCTGGTACCCGGATTGGGACACAGTCAACAACAAGTGAATCCCTATTGAGGGATAAGAAACATATACACAGTGCAAATTAGTGGACATTAGAAAAAGGGTGTCATAAGTCCATTAATCTGTGCAACACTCCTCCTGATCATGCAAGATGCAGGTGACCGCACACCTTCACTGTGATCAACAATGGCTGCAATGGCCTCTCACCTCCCCTTCGCGACCCTGCAGGGTCACAAAGCATATAAAGATCCCCTCAGGATCCCTCAGAAAAATGGCTCCTACAACCAGGTGGTGCAAGCAGTCCTCACGGTATCAATATTCCACTGGACCGGTCAGCAGGTAAACAGGTACACTTAAGTAGCACAAATGCTCATATGCCCATATAACGAGAAGAGAACAATCTCCATTTTTTATTTAAATTTTATTTACCATGTTGCCGGACCTTTTATCTACAGTCTTCTTTCACAGACCGTGCAGCTGTTGTACAGGCATCGGTAATTTAATTCCACCAGTTTCTTAATTTTACCTGCTTGTAGCACAGCATTTGTTTATTTGCGTTTAAGAAGCCATGTTAGCCTATGTTTGATCTGCAGATGCCATGGTGCAACACATGTTAACAGCAATATGACGGCTTGACAGTTTGGTTGAGAGAACAAGCAAATGTAAACATTATTTGAGGCATGTCTTCAATGTAATGGTTTTAGGAAACCAATGGGTTTGGTGTGTTCGATGGAATAAACTGACCTTAACATTAAATGAGGTGCATGCGACTTGCTATACAAATCACTCTGATCCAAGTTCATTTACACAAAATGGGTCTCATCAGCTTGCATTTATTGTACAGCCAGTGACCACAGGAGAGGAAAGTATGGTAATGGATCTGTCCATCAGAAAAGCTAGCAAAAGAAAAAACATTTCCAGGTCTGTGGCACACTGGAATATAGCCAGCACATTTTAACCCCTTTACAATTTCCTGACACATATGGCTTTAACGACCAGGCGCGTCTCTGGGTGGCCACTGTCTGGTGTGCTGGGAGTGCACTCAAAAGCACAAATACTTAACTGTTGCAGATAACTTTCAGTCCATGCTACAGATCAGGGGGACCAGCTTCTGATCATAAGACCACTGTGACAGTGGCCACATGATCGCTGAACCTTCCTGCCCACCTGGTGTTCCAAACCTTTTAAAAGGAACACTGGGGCGGGTGGGAAGAGGTTAACAGAAAAATAGAACAATCTTTTCTTTTAGAGAGCAAATTCCATGATCAGACATTTGAAAAAGCAGTCAGAGTAAACAAAGTAAACTGAACCTTTCTACCATAAAAACTTTAAAACTAAAAATCACGCGGAGGCGCTGTTGAGCAGCCGAGAGTGATGGCCACTCCTTAGCCCGGCTCCTCAACTCCTAGGCACCACTATTACTCCAGGACCAGCCAGACGAGCCTTCCCACTGGAACCCCCCCCCCTCTACCGCTGGCACCTTATAGGACCAGCAGATCCACTTGGCGAGTGGGGATTGCAGAGCTACCCACACTGATTACCAGGGGAGCTGCCACTGACACACAGGGAAGTAGCAGCCGCTATCTTCTCGCAGCCTGCACCCGTCTCCTCAGTCAGCGTATTCCGCCTTCACCCTGCAGACCGCCTCACACAGTCCTGGAGCTCTCCCCTCCTGGACTTCTAGTACAGCTCACTGTGGGGGACCGGCACCCTGCGGGAAGACCACATCCCACATCCTCGGTGAGTTAACTCTACTCCAGCCCCAGGCCTCCCGGAGTTTAGAGGACTGATAGGTCTCACAGGGCCCAGGGCTCCATACAGAGGGCCGATACCCTCGAGAAGGTTCGGCTGTGACTGGGGGAGGACAGGGGGACCCCCTATCTCTCCTGGGCCCTTCGCCTACACCAATTACCCCCACCAGGACACAAGAGCTCCCCCAGCTGCCTACTAGACCCCACGTCATATCGACATTTGGTGGTGAAGCGGCCCTGACCTTTACTTCTTATCCATGCCTCCCCCCTAGTACACCTGGTGGTCTTCAATTCACTGTCCAAAGGAAACCCTTTCCACATGTCCTGAAGAGGCGAGACCACATTGCCACAGTCCTTACTACATGCTGTACACGGGAGATGGGGGACCCAATTGCGGTGATCATGGGAAAGCATTCCATAGCTACCCTGGCAAAAGCTGACCAAAATCGGCAACTAGCTCTACCAAAGCTTCTACCAACCTCGCCAAAAGATATCAATCTAAACTGACCTCCCCTCAACCCTTGCCTGAATGCCCATCTCTCTCCCAAGAGACCAGCTCTCAATTAGACAACTTGTCTAATGACGGTTTCCAAGTCACTGAGACCGAAGAACCTACCGACACGGAGATCCGTGACTCAGCCCTACTGGAGAGATTAAAACTCCTTCAAAAAGAACTGACCAAGGAACAGCTTACCACTAAGATTACACGTGAAATTAGGGACATAGGGTCCCAAATAGATGACCTCGAACATAAAATAGATGATGCTATCCTCGTAAATCAACAATCACAAGCAAGACCTCAACACAATTAAACTAGACTTCTCTTTTGCCTTGCAAAAACTTGAAGATATGGAGAACCGCAGTAGGAGAGGCAACTTTAGGATCAGAGGCCTCCCAGAAACAATAGAGGGCTTAAAAACTCTACAGTCACAGCGCTACAGCAAGAACTCATCCCTGGAATCTCAATCGAAAATTGGAATTCAATAGAATCCACAGAGCCCTGGGCCCCAAATGAGACATTATCATTAAACCTACTTTTTACAAAACTAAAGAAGCGGTCATGCAAGCAGCATGGTCAAAGAGACTTGACCTTTCAATCACACAAACATCAAATATTCTCTGGTCTCGCTCCACAAACACTCCAGAGAGACGCAGAAAACTGAAGCGTTTTGTTCAGACACTACAGAGCCAACGCATCAAATTCCGCTGGAACTTCCCATGCAAATTAACCTTTACTTTCCAGGGTCACCCTTATGCTTTCTCCACACTTGACGAAGCCCAGGATGTCCTCATCAGGCTACAACTTATGCTATCTTCCACAGGCTCTAAGACTTTGCAGACCTCTCCCTGCAAGTCTCCTCGCCTCACTCCCCTCTGGAAACCTCTTCCCTGAAGGAGACGACCGGCATAGAGACAAAGCAAACAGGTTTCCCGATCAGATATTTCATAGGGGGACCAACTCTTACTTCACTCCTCACCCTGAGTATCCTAGTTTCAAAAAGGTCTATTTGCTCCAAAGTTGACACATCCCCTGCCGTGATGCTTCTAACTGAACCTTCGAACTTCCACACGCCAATTTTTACTTTTGTTTTTTAGGTTCTTATGCTGCTTCTTCACTCCAGCTAGGACTTGGGGCTCACCGCCGTGGTCGAGATTCAGGTGCAGACTCTATAATGCTACCCCTCTTCAATGGGAGAGTGGGGGGGATGAGGGGGCGGTGGGGATTACTTTGTGCTTCCCACTTGGAGCTTTGCCTGTATGTGTTGGACCGTAGTCCTTTGGCTCCATTAGTCATAGCTGCGCCTGGTCCAGACTTCGTGGCCGATGACTCCTCACTTCTATTTCATTTAACTGTATCTTACTATAGCATTATGAACATATGCAAGACCGTGCTCCTACTCATGCTTGTTTTCTGCTTGTGTGTCTCCTTGTCCTTGCCACCCTTCTCTCTCCCCATCTTCTTTTCTTCTTCCCCACTATTTTCTTCCCTCCTACATTTTGTTTTTTTCTTTCCTTCTTGTTTTCACTTTTCTCCGTTCAGGTTGTTGAACATCAGTTCATTTTTTAAATGTTTTCTAACTATCATTATACAATGTGTGCCTGGGGGGTTCCCAGTGACCCCCAACTATGGCAGTTCGTTTAACCACGGCCTTCGATTGCTTAGACAATTTTTTCGATGCCCCTGTGGCTGAGCCTTCTACACTCTACCTTACTAGACTTCTTTTACCTCTCTCTATTTTACATTTTCCAGGATGTCGAAAACGCCTGAATACATCTGACATGTCATGGTTCAACTCTGGGTTTAACTGCTGGGTTTAACTGCTATTTCACCCTATATCCACCATGATGGCTACATCCAACAATATACAGGGCTTTAATTCCCCTTGGAAACGTAAATGTGCCTTTACTTACTATGCCTTCCATTCGAGCTCACATCATAGGACTACAGGAAACCCGATTCTCCACATCCTCCCAGCCCAAATATTTTCACAAAAATTACCTGCAGATGTTCCAGGCAAATTTTGAGGAGAAGCGGAGAGGCGTCCTTGTAGCATTCCACAAAAGCATCCCTTCACCTGCGCTCTAGAAATTGCAGATCTCACAGGCAGATATTGGATATTACAGGGGCCTATTTTTGACGTCGAAGTGACCATAGTCAATTTTTATGCTCCGAAAACGTATCAGTCCCGCTTCCTCTCTCATTTATTGAAGGTAATTTCCTCACAAAGAAAAGGCACTTTGATCGTTATGAGCGACAGTAATCTTGTGCAAAATAGGCAACTAGACCAATCTCCTCCAATTGATCGCCAACGAGACCGCAATGAAACAAGCTCGCAAACAGATTCGTAGACCTCCTATCCGAATACGCATTAGTGGATGCTTGGAGGGAATTTAATCCTCGCGTACGAGATTTCACTTACTATTCGGCACCCCA